AATGCTACCCGCACGACAAGCAGTTGGGTCTTTAGGCATGTATTAGCTCTAGAATTACTACGGGTATCCAGTAGTAAGGTACTATCGAGTAGACTATAACTGATATAATGAGCCATTCGCAGTTTCACAGTACAAAATTGTTTATACTTAGACATGCATGGCTTAATCTTTGAGACAAGCGTATGACTACTGGCAGGATCAACCAGGTTTATATCCTCCATACTAAAGAAGACGACAAGTCGCCCCCAGCACAAAACAACAACACAGAGGCCAGCCGCAAACAGCCCCGCAACCGCCGAAACAGTCGCTAGGCCACTCGCAGCTTTTCTCAAAGCCGCCATTAATAGCCGAGAATCTTTTTGCACAGAAAGACAAAAATATGATCCTCACTTCAACAGTTCCACCTAAAAATAGGTAGATCAAGAAGCGAATAATAGAGCACGACGCAGCATACTTTGGGTTGTAGTCCCCTCCGCACGCCGCATAACTAGCCCCAGATCAAAAACGGTTCTACCCGAAATTGAAACTTTCCACCGGAAAAATCCAGCGCAAAACGCACCACAGAAGGTATCGCATAATGACACACAATCCGAAAACTGCACGAAACACTATACAACCAACCGCAGCACACCTTCGCACCGGCACCGACAGAGCGTTGATGTAGCACCTCGCAACGTCAGCAAACGCTTCCTCGCATCCAAGCACACACAGTCAGGTCACTATCCCGAAAGCACACACTCGTCAGCAATTCCACATCGCTTCAGCGCAAAATACCCAGAGCAACGCATAAAATGCGTCAAATAAAGCTATATTCTTATGCAGAGCATACGAGTACAACCTCAATTTCTGCACGCACGAAATAACCGCTCTAAGTTTCCCCAAAGCAATATAACGCACGATTTTTAAAGGTTTGTCTTAAAGACACGTCTTAGAAACAGCAGAACTATTCCTACAAAGACACATCTAAAAAACCATAAATCGCCAGAGTTTCACTCATCTTATCTAAAATAAGAACGCGGAAAATCACCCTAAAACAGCAGAGTTAAGCGCCTTCAAAAAACCAAATATAATTCTAGAAAAACCCACCACGCCATTTTCCAAAATTACCCTCACTAAAACGCGCTGTTTTCCACCTCACCATATACTAGGAAACCGTCACAAGAAAGATACTCGCTTTTGTTTACGTCGTCTTAACAAAAATTCCCGTTAATCTACAGCAGATTGACGGGAATTGAGTACTGCTGACAGTTACAGACTACTCGTTTAACATCTATTTATAGCTGGAAAAGTAACCGCCGCGCCAGCAGCTAGTCAGTATCTTTCAGTTTTGTTAGAACTCAGCAGTCACCCATAAAGTAATTTACATAAATTACCCGTTCTAAGTGCGAGAAGTTATTTTACTAAGTGCGAATAGTGCCTAAGTTCGTATTTTATGGACTAAGTGCGGTATTTTATCATTAAGTTCGCGTTAGAGGACCCCCCAAAATGAACATTTTCTTGCGTCTTGGGAAGAGTATTGTAGAGTGCCCCGTAAAACTTTGTGGTGTTAAGTATGATACTAAAACACACTAACTGCCCTAAGGATCCACGTCGATTTCATTCTAGGAGTCGAGATATGTTATTTTAAGTTTTTGGGATGTCATGGATGCAAATCGTTTGCTACAGGCTCAAGAACGCACTTTTTGTATACCATGTTATTTTAAGAAAATGTCCGTTTCGATGCGCTCTTCAAAAATGTTCGACTTGCGAACCATGATTTTCTGCGTCTGTGCCACGTAATTCAGCAAAAAGAGCATGTAATGGAGTGAAATGAGAGGGTGTGTCATCTCTAAAGTAAAATCTTTAAAAGAGCATAACTTAAGAACGGCTGGGAATAGGTGGCCGTTCTTTTTACCATCATGTGCGCCTAAAAAAAGTACACTATCGTGACAATCGATATCGGTCGATATGGTATAAATTGATAAAGTTATGCTCGATTATGTACGCGAAAACAGAAAAAGGGCGCTGGTGACAAAAAAAGTACTAACGATTCTGTTATTGTTTTGATATTCTGTCATCCCAGACTCTTGCGCATCTGGTGACCTATTTTTTATTCGCCAGTTCCGAGAAAAGTGTCGTTTCGATGCGTGGTGGGCCCGGGATGACAATTCGAGTTGAGTTGGAAGTTCATGTGAAGTCCTGGAAACAAGAAAAAAAGAAGATCCACGCTTCCCTAACTCAAAAAGTCATTAGAAACCGAGGGTAGCTTGTATGGAGACTTTTGTTCCTCGTGCGCTAAAACGCCGAATTAAATTTTTTATCTATACTTAACAGGAAAAAAGTTGCCTCCTTCGCGATATATAGGCAAATAAAGAATGGGTGCTATCATTTCGGGACAAAACAGGTGAAAATTTAGGTCGAAAAAAGTGTTTATAGACAAGGCATTTGAATTTAGCCAAAATCTGACTTGACCACGGGAATGCGCGCATAAAAGCACCCCTAGGGCAGTTTTTATACGGAGCAGTCTCATTTGCTTCCTGGATGTGCAGGGCCAAACATGGCCAAAAGTGGTGATTTTGGCCGTCCAAGGTGTCCATTTTCCGCGAAAATGGCGTTTTTTGGCGTCACTAAAAAAATCATTGCGAAGCAACTACTGGAGATATGCTTGTAAAACTTTGGGAGCGGTCGTGCGAACACATGCGCCAAGTTTTCTGCTAAAGTCTGCAGGCCAGATCTGCCGGGCGGCACATAAAACCGGAAAAAACCA